TTCCGCAATGGTCTTGGAATAATCTAACAAAATAAATGATTATTTTTATAGAAAGAAGTGTACATACTTTCCACAATGCTTTATTCTCTGGAAGCACTTGAATTATCGTCCGATTGTTAATATTAATTACCACAGGTTCAATTTGAATATCGATCATATTGTCGAGATCCCAAATCTTTGTTTCGATTGTCTCTTGAATGTGACGGATGCAATCATTTCAATGGTTTGCCGTCACTCTGTTGACAGCTTCATAAAACAAATTTTTCACGGCAGAAAATTTGAATGTTCTATTGTTTAAAGCCACATAGTTTTTTTATATTTGCCTAAATCATTTCAATGGGATTTAATTAGCAGCTATAAGGGGGTAGCCTTCAAACGGTCTTATTTTGGTTTTTAGCTATTTCGTCAATAACATTAAGATTATATTTATATTTGAGCTTCCTCACTAGATGGATAAGTTCTGCTTCAACCATATTTTCATTGAAACTAATGTCTTTTGATAGGAGGCATTGTTGAATTTCTGCCTTTCTGGGAGACATTGTGGGAATTTTTTCTAGTTTCCTAGTGTGGTAGGCAGCATTATCAAGTACAATGACCGCACTGTCGTCAAGCTTTGGGAGCGTTTCTTCAAACCATCGTTCAAATGAACTCATGTCCATTTCTTCATGGTAGTAGGTCGTTTTCTTTGGCTCAAATTCGCATGGTGCAGTGGGCACACTATTTCTACAACCCAAATGACGAATTGGTTAGATACACGTACATGACGGATTCTTTAGGCTAGTGATTAGTCCATCTAAGAAGGCTTGTCTTGTTGATTTAATTGTAGAATCAGCTCATACTTTAGGTTTTGTATGTCCTGCATTTATCCAGGTTTCATCTAAATAATATATATTTCTGCCCTGGTCGCGGTATTTATTTATTGATTTTGAATCATTTCTTCTCCATAAAATAATTTCTTGGCTGTCCATCAAAATACTATTTCTGCCCCCAGTCTTGCCTATTTCAGCATGCAACATATGACAGACAGTTTTATACGCCGTGTTGCAGGTATCGAAGTAATTTTGGTAGGCGCAAGTTGAGCAGCATTTTGAATGTCTGCAACATGTGCTGACACAGGTGCCAGGCAGGTGCGTTGCCATACAAACAAGTTGCAGACACACGTGTGAGATGTGCATAACAAAATGCCGCGAGTTCGAAGACGTCCAAATTATAAGCATGTTAGCGACTTTGGCAGGGGTAGAATTACTGCCTATCGAGATCTTGGTTTATCCTATTCCGAAATTGGCCGCTGTGTTCATTGTGTAGTTGGAGAACAAGGTAGACCTGTTACTATGCGTACACTCTATCGCCGCATTCGAGCCTTTGGACTTTTTCCATACGTCCACGGTTAGTGCTTCCTCTGACTGCGGGCCACTGTCGTCACCGGTTGAACTGGAGCAGAGAACGGCAAAATTGGGAGGCAGAATGGCATAATGTCATCTTCAGCGACGAATCGCGATTCCATCTAGGTACGCACTATGGTTGCATGTACACATCACTCTTGGAGTAATGGTTTGGGGGGCTATTGCCTGTGGTAGCCGATCACCCCTTCTCTTTGTTTAAGGCAATATGACTGCTGCGCGTTATGTTGATGATGTATTACAAACCACTTTACAAGCCGTATCTAGGGGAACGTTCACATGTCCTTTTTCAGCAAGACATCGCACGTCCCCATATTGTTCGTTGTTCTGCGGACTTTCTTCAAGAAGCAGGCGTTAATGTTTTGCCGTGGCCACCTCGTTCATCGGAATTAAATCCCATTGAAAATGTGTTGGATCTGATGAGGAGGAGACAGATCATCTCATTTTGTCTATGCCTAGACGTATACAGAAGTGTATTCAGCTGCGGGGTCGCCCAACACATTATTATACATTTTGTTTCTTATTGTCAATAAAATTTCATGAGAATGTTATCGTTTCATTCTTGATGTAAGACTATCTCATTGCCAAAAAATCAAGTTGAAGAAACCATTTTTTCTAGGTGTAACACTTCTAATGTCACTGAGTATATTTGTAATATGTTTGTTACATGTCTGGATTACATGTGTTTTAATATTATCTAGGCTTGTTCATATTCGTACTAATTTTAGCAAAAAGGTATAACCAAATTCTTATGTACCTTTGATCATATATTTATTGTGACTCCCCATGTTGTAGATCAATTTTTTAAGTAAGTAATATATACTAAGTGACATATAAATCCCAACACCCAGTTTAAATGGTTTTATTTTAATAAAATTTTGTATAAGTACTTAATGAAGCATAATAAGTAAATGATGATGATGCGCGTTCATGTTACCTCTGATGAAGATTAAAGGTAACCTGGAACCATAAGCTATAGCACCCCAAACCATAACTCCAACAGTGTGATGAACATGTCTTTCAACAAAAAACTGTGGATTCCTCCTTTCACCACGTCGCCTTCTAACCCTGGCACGACCATCGTGCATGCCTAAACAAAATCGAGACTCGTCACTAAAGACAATACTGTTCCATTCCTGATCCCAGAGTGACCGTTGTCTGCACCACTCAAGGCGATTACGTCGGTGTTCTCGAGTTAAAGGGAGGACCCTGTGTGGCCGGTATGAAAACAAGCCAAAACTTCTCATTCGTCGGTAAACACTTCGCATGCCAATAGGTCTTCCGTGTTCTGCAAACCATTCATTTGCAATGGACCTGGTAGTGGAGAAACGGCCCCTTAAGGCCAATAATCTTAGGCGGCGATCTTCATGGTCTGTTGTTCTACGGCGGCGTCCAGTGCCTCTTGCTCTTTGCGTACGGCCTTCTCGAAGCCATGCCTGACAACACCTAACCACAGTGTCTACACTTCTTTGCACTCCAACTGCAATTGCCCGAAAAGAAAGTCCAGCTTCCCGAAGTCCCACTATACGGCCCCTATCAAACTCACTAAGTTGACGAAATCGTACAGGTCTCCGTACTCTAGGCATCGTAACCGATCGTAGAGGATGTCAAGAACCAAAATCCGCCAACGTTGATTCTTTACTGCGGCTGAAATATTCATTTTTAGAGCGTTAGTGAATTAAAAAAAAGCAGTATAAAAACCGGAATGTCCAACTGATAAGGCTGAAAATTTTTTCACTTGTTATTTACAGTAAGATAAATACATTCACCAACTTTTATTAAAATAAAATCATTTAAACTGGGTATTTGGATTTATATGTCACTTAGTATATGTTTAGTGATATTCAATTAATGTATTTAATTTCAATCATGACTTTTTCCATATCATGTTTAATGATCAAGAGGATTCATATATATATTTATCTAATAAAGCATGTACCCGCTCATGAAAACAACTACTTTCAGATCAAAAGTAACTATCTTGATCTCAGGAAATGGTAACTTGACTCCTATGTTGCCTAAACATATTGGATATTTATTTCGTGACGTTCATGAATCATATTATGACGTTTGTTTAGTTAAATAGGACTCTTAACAGAAGGAATTGCATATGGCAAATGTATCCTGTTTCTTTGAAATGATAAAATTGCTTCAATTCAAATAACCGTCGTTCGTGCTCTTGGAGCAGCATTAAATTTTTGTATGAAATCCGGAGATAGATAACAAAATATGTAAGAGCTGTTATAAGAAACTTCACGTCAACCGGTAGTATTTGTATAAAAAACTAACCGCAACTTTTACTATAGCTTTCATCAAACATATGTTCATCTCTCGCCATCAAAACCGATGTGAATGTCTTCGTGTTCAGTTGTTCCTAGGTACACACCAAGAATGGCAGGGAAAATACGCCTGCAAAAATAGTGAAGAATCCATTCGCGTCGTATTGGGAGACAATCATAAAAGTATTTCATTAGGATACGATTCAGATGTTTCACATTTTCTGTAATGAGAAATCGATTATAACAATTTGCAATGAGATGCTGGAAAAATGAAGCAATTTTGAATCTCAACCGTTAGCGTTGTTTGTTCCAATTCACACGTACGGGGATATAACGTGATCATAGAACTATTCAAACTTGGTATAATATCTTGCTGGCAGTTCCATGCCACAGCACTGGATGCCCTAAGACCTTTTCTACGGCGTACTACCACGCCAGTTAACCAGGAACTATTGTAATCGAAAACATTTAGAAAACAGGATATTATATTTACCTAATGTTACATGGCATGCGCATCACGAAAAACCATCATATTTACTCAGTGTATCGGTTTGTTTGTCCGATAATCCTTGGTTCCTCTGTAAGTCACACGCAGCATATGGATTTGGAGTTCACATAAGGCTACTATACTACAGTCATTGTTCGGAAGGATCATGAACCTAACAATATTTATGAAATCAGTTTGTATACTTTTATCAGAGCTATTTTGCTTTATCTTTTGTAAATAAAATATGTACAGAAGCTCTTGACAATTTATGAGGTAGAATCGGGAAACATGGAACAGTCCATGTCTAATTAATAGGTTGTAATTAATACATGTATGATCAGCGACTGATGCGACTATATCATCTTCATTAAAACACCTATAAATTTTAATGCATACTTTTATCGATCTCTGCATGTATCTTATTGAATTTTAAATTCGTCATGCGGTAGGTAGACACTTCCTTGAGAGGAAAGTCGAGTCTGGTAATTAAAAAAGCAGAGGCAGCTATTAAGACTGATGTGATCCATGATGGACGTATATTAGTTACCCATAATAATTTCAATACCTCTTAGTACGAGAGTTGCAGTAAATAAAAATGTCAATTAGTCACTACAATGCTTGTATTCTATCTAACAATGATTTTAATCAATCAACAGTAGTCACAGTAGCGGACCTTCCATATGTTTATCCACGAATTAGTATCAGTGTGACGTCACTCTTGCTTATGACAAGATATTTGAGGTTATGCTTTAATACAATGACAGCTTTGACAAATGTCAGGCGATCAGCTGATTCTCTAATTTTGTTAATAGTTTAAGCGCTATGATATTTTTTATGATTAAGGCATCTGTTTCTGAACCGCATTATATGGATATCATTCCCAGCAACATTCTAACAGAAATGACGTCATCTTTATTGCAAGTACATTTTCGAGGGTAAATCATTCTGTTCAGTTCAACTTCTGATAGATCAAAAACCTAAATCTGATCAACCAATAATAATGATTTATTCTTTACAGGGAGCAGTACCTATTCAACGTCTTCGAAGCGATCATTTCCACACTGGAGTCGAAATTACAGCGCATAGAAAACCTGGACAAAGCAGTAGAGCATTTGATGAGACGAGTAGAGGGTCTAGATTCAAGAGTTAACAACAATATTGACAAAACAGAGTCTGTCATAGCAAAACTGAGAAACTTGGACTCTAAATTATTTCATACTACTGCTAACAGACTGCCATTTGATGCGAAAAAGTCAGATACAAATCCAGAATCAATCAATTTAAATAGAAGACTGGTCGTTTTGGATGAAAAAGTAAGCGAAATTGACGACAAACTCAGCGTATTGAAGAATCAACTGGACACAAACTCCTTACAAGGAGAAGATTTCAATGCTGAAGCTAGTGAGAAAAGGTCTATCAGCATGAACGTAGTTGAAATCACCAAAGCTCTCAATACAGAAGTAATAAATCACGTCACCAAGGAGCTTGGACAGCTGAAAGAAGCTACAAATGGTGTAGATCGCAAGTTACAGTTTCACATCAATTTAGTTCAAGATAATCTTGGAAAAGTGATTAATATGATCACTGATGTTCATCATGCTATTGTGGACGATCCGAAAGGCTATAATTCACTATACAATCGTAGTACTACTACTACAACTACACCAAGGCCAGAATTTCACAGGAATAGCAAGATTGATAGTCTGGTGCAGCAAATGAAACCAATCATAACAGTGTCACAGAAAATGGATGAAGTTTGGAATGTTGTAGTGGGTACCAAGAGTTCCGTAGATGATTTGGTACCAAAATCTGATGAACTTCTCACTCAAACTCAAAGACAAGAGCGAGCTATTGGTGAGATTCATAACGATTTGAGGACTAAAACCAACAAGATCATAGCTAACTTAGACAAAGTTGAGAAAAGATTGAAGAAACAGGAAGACGATGTCGCCACGTTAGCCCAAAGACCCGTTCCAGCTGAAGCACTTGTGGAACCGAATTTGGAACATGTTGATGATTATGGAACAACGCGATATGTTGAAGATTACGCGACAGATACAACGTTGCCAGTTGGATTTACAACGATATCACCACCGATAACGCAGACTCCGTCGGGACTTCAGAATCAAACTAATGGAGGTACGACTACAGAGAAAAGGGTGGAGAAGAGGAAAGGCGGGATTATATTCCCAAGTGTGAAGAATAAACCAACACATGTCAACTCAACATTCGTGACGTCAGATGTATCATCTAGCTCAAAGGATGTTAAGGTAGGAAATTTGGATTATTTTTTCATTTCGAAGCTCACATAAAGGATGTGTCAAAATTCAAGCAAGATTTAAATTAGAATTTACTAGAAAACGCATTCTGTAATACTGTTTTTTCTTATTGAATCATACACAGGATAGGGTAGGTAGGTTTTTGTCGAAATTTTCCATGACGATCTGGCATCAACATGACTGAGCTTCGTTGATGTAGCGGTTCTTCAATTCACAAGTATTTTTGTATTTCTTCTTGCCGAAATTGGATAATACTGATGTGGCTAACGTGTGATTTTCACGAGACGGTGTCGTATGTCATTCGGCCCGTGCAGGGCCGTATGCTCCGCTGTTCGGTTTTCGTCCGCTGGCGCGCATGACGTCACGCGGAGAGTGATTATCATTTGGATTGATATGGATAACGTGCATATCTCCACCTACAGGCCAAACGGCTGGACGGATTTTTACATATGAGGTGTCGTTGGATTCGTCCTAGCGGTGCGAGTGATACTAGCTACATTGAAATTTTATAAAAAAAACAAAATGGTGGATTTTAATAAAAGATTTCAACCTTGCAATTCCTACTTCATAGGCTACAGATCAAACGGCTTGATAGATTTTCACATATGAGGTGTCGTTGGATTCGTCTTATCGGTGCGAGTGACATTCCATTTCCTTTTACGATTTTTCTGGTCTTTCAAACTTCTATTCCGTTGTTTGATCTGGAAGAACATCCTTGACCCGAAAAACAGTTTTTTAGCTTTTTCAGGACAGTCAATGTTGCTGCTCTTCAACAGAAGTTCACCTATAAGATTTTGCTTTTTCGTCACTATTCCGTCCCCATTGAAAGTAGTGAATACCTTGTTTAGCTTCTCAATTTGATTCATGAAAGTTGCGACAGGTTTTGATAATCCACCCTCACTAAGATGGTCTATCCATGAATAATTTTCATGTGAGGAACGTTTCAACCTTTCATCCTGCAATTTATTGCAAACAAAGCCGGCCAAATTTTCCAGCCCTTCATACTCGAGCTCATGTATTTCATCCACTAAAACTTGCTCGGTAGTCAGCTGATACTTCAGGTGCATTCAGTTTACTCTCGTTAATGATGGGGTTAGTGGTTAGTGGAATGTCTGGAGTATCCTTTGACTCTACGCTGCAATAGGTACTCTGAGTATGCGCCTTCGTTTCGCCCCTTACATACTCGTATATGACCTTATTCTATACTTAAACTCAAGAGGACTTGTATGGTCATGGAGACCATCTTTTGCCCTAATTACTCCGAAAAAGTTTTCTATTGCATCTTGACCAAGACGTCTTGTTAACAGGTATTGGATGCTGTGGCGTCGCTTCAGATCCTCTAGAGCATTTTCTAGCAAACCATAGCGTTTTTTACATTGACTTTGTCTTATCTTTTTGTGAGATATAGCCATTTTTTTGCTAAAGTTTGGGTCTTTAGGAAAACTGTGGAACTCCATGTCTTTGCAAAGATTCCGTTTAGATTGATTGTCGGAATTACATCCCACAACAACTCACCGTATTTTTATCAATTTATCAACCACACAGGGTATATAAGGTATGTATAACTAATACAACAAGTCACAAAACCACCAAAAAGCACCAACAAATCGCACTATATAGTATTAACCACGATACACGTGAACTGCAGTAACGTTACGACAATCCTGCCGATAACTCTCCGGGTGACGTCACGAAGCTCCGCCCACATGCGCAATATCCTATCTTCAGTGTATGTGTATCGTGGGCCCGTGAAACAATTTAATAGCTTCCCGAGGCCTTTCCTGTGTGTACTTTCTCGTTCCTATGATAAAAATCGGCCTCATAGAGCATGTGATTTAATATTATTGGATTTCTACTTGTACTATTATTTGAAATCAAAAGTTTATATCAACTAGCCCATATACACACATGCATTGATGGAGGAAAGTCGACGTATCTTAACAAAATTTAACTATATTTATTTGAAGTGGTTATAAATGAGATATTTTGCCTGCTATGCTATTCCCAACACAAACCTCTGTGTGATTCAACAGCAAAATGACATATTTTTACTAAATTCAAATAGAATGAATTTTGGGACAGCATTTATACAACACAGCATGGCATTTTAATTTTCAGCTTAACTGACATTCAAATAAAGCTTAAGGTCATTGTCAAGTTACAAATCTGTATGTTTTTTCCGTAACTCCTATCATTAATTAGCGTATCCTACTTGAAGATACCCAACCTCATACCGTAATCTGACGATCTGAGGTTCTTATACAATTTCTGCTGTAACAGCGATGTTCCTCAATTAGAAGTAATAACAATGAAAATATTTTGCGAAAATCAATACTGCTACAGAGGTAAGAACACGCTTTTGGTCTGACTTTTGATATACCTAAGGTTAGGTTAGGATTATTTTCTATTCTCTATAATCTAGGAGCAAAAGAGCAGTCGTACAGACTAGTTGTCGATGTGAGAATGTCTATGAGGGAGACGGATAGCAAGGCTTCTCTTCGGCAACTGTTGAAATTAACGAATTGTGTCTGAACCAAGTCATGCCTCGATGATGTGAGTTCCAAAAAGTCAAAAAGACTGATTTCCTAACAGAGCTGGTTCATTCATCAAAACGATCTGGGCTTGGTTATCAATACGATAAACTATATTCTGCACATGATACATAATTACGAATCATTAAGCTACGATTTTTTGGTGCGAAAAATGTGGCGCAATCATAGTGTGCAGATCTACAGCGATAATAATTCCTTTCGAAAACACGTTTATGGTAATGTTCAATGCAAAGAGTGTTAATAACACGGTTACCGCATTTCGAAACGCTTAATTAGTACATATTTGTATTATCATGGTAGAGCTGAGATAAAGCACAGAAAATGTTCAGTGATTCAACTCTTTACTGTGCAAATCCTTGTAATACCTAATATTTTGTTGGTTTTTGTGCCATTTGTATCAAAATGTTTATCTGACGTAATGCCCCATGAAATCATCGATGAAAGCTTCGCATTTATTTAAACAAGATACACGTACCTACGTTTCTACCTGATATCGATGACTTTTGGAGGCCTAGAATTTTGCAAGGAAATAAAGAAAAAAATTATAAAAGCTTTAACTGTAGTACTTTGATATAATGTTTTAAGGTCATTATATTATTATATATGGATTCCGATGCTAGTTTGAGGAAAGTAATAATAATAATAATAATTAACGTCTTTTATTTGAAATATTCTTACAGGAGGCGAGATTTAGATTATACAGGGTGTTTCAGTTTATTGTTGCATAGCTTTAAGATTCGATAAAACCTTTAAAATTAATGCTTAAAGTCTATATAAACATGGGTCGAAAAATGCGTGGCTTCCGAAATACAGGGTGTTTAAGTTTACTTTCTAAAATAGTTTTTTTTTAAATTTTTCGAACAATATTTGATGTATAACAGTGAAAATTAGTATACAAGGGTTTTTTGGTATGACAAAACGAACCATGGGCATAGTTTTACTGTAGCCGGTAGAGGGCACTCTCTACTGTACCTGTAGTGTATTAAAATGACCGAAAAATTTTTCTTAGTTCAATTTTTTGCTTTTTGAACAAAAAAACTGATTCCTCGCACTTTTCAACATAAAAAAGCTCTCTTGTAAATTTTCGTTATAGTTAGCCGTTTTTGAGATATTTCGATTTTTAAGGTTCGATGCAAAAGTCAGTATCTCGATAATTTTTAGAACTAGGCTGTGCCTGCAAATATTTTTGAAATTGAAAGCAGAATAAGGTTAAACGTCAATTAGTTGACAGTTGGTTTTGTTGTCTGTTGAAACCTGAAACGTTTTTTTGCAATTGTGAATGCACGAAATTTAGTTTCTTTTACCTGTTTTTTTTGTAAGTTTTATAAAAATGCCATTTTTATTCTCCAATCAAGAGTTAGCGGATATTCATTTTGTGTTTGGCTTTGTAAATGGAAACGCAGCAGAAGCAGCCAGAGAATACGCACGAAGATTTCCAAACAGACGACATCCAACTCGCTCAGTATTTGTAAGAGTGCATCGCCAAATAATTGAAAATGGTTTTGGAAATCTTCAAGGGGATCAAAACATAAATGTTCATCAGCGCAGATTTACCCGTATGATTCTGCGTGAGTTTGATAGAGATCCGACCACAAGTGTTAGGAGAGTTTCTGGTGCGTTGGGAATTTCAGCAAGCCATGTTCACCGTGTTCTTCTGCGAAGAATCAGTTTTTTTATTCAAAAAGCAAAAAATTGCACTCAGAAAAAAATTTCGGTCATTTTAATACACTACAGATACAGTAGAGACCGCCCTCTAGCGGCTACAGTAAAACTATGCCCATGGTTCGTTTTGTCGTACCAAAAAACCCTTGTATACCAATTTTCACTGTTATACATCAAATATTCTTTGAAATATAAAAAAAAACTATTTTAGAAAGTAAATTTAAACACCCTGTATTTCGGAAGCCACGCATTTTTCTACCCATGTTTATATAGACTTTATGCATTAATTTTAAAAGTTTTATCGAATCTTAAAGTTATGCAACAATAAACTGAAACACCCTGTATATCTATTCTACGATCTAACCCCCTGTGTAATCTGAAAGATCAGATACCGCAGTGTTATTGCGTACGAAATCTATAAAACGTCAGAAAAAAAAACCGACAAAATGTCAACTTGCTGCCTAGGTAGTTCCTAGTGTACAAATAGTATATTCCGCGTTTGGTCACTAAGAGCTCTATAAGTGCCAACAAAAGCCTCTATGGAGAAATGACTCAACGGCACGACACGCTCTATGACCATACTGCAAGCTGCAAGTCAGTCATCATGCTTTGTTGGTTGCAGAATGCCTAGATGGTCTGTAGAGTATTCTATGAGAAGAGTATGGTTGAGTTTCAGAGTATCACAATCATATCTTGATGATTGTGTATTGGTCTGCATGTGTATAAAATCGATGACAAAAATACTGAATA